CCTAGTCTACGGATTGTCGGAAGAAATCTGCATACACAGCGTATGTTTAATTATGTATGGTTCTGGTGTCGCCGTTGTGGTTTTTGCCTACTCCTAAATTGCTCTTCAGCGTGTTTATTTGAATTGTTAAAACCAAACTGTATTCTGAGAATATATAGTACTGGATCGTGTTACATATGTATCAACCAAGAGGGGAAAAGGCCGAAGAATGCTTGAACAACTGAATATAAACCGGTGCTTTACCAATGTCTATCAATAATAAAGACATAATATTTGCTGTTATATTTTTCTCTTAAGTTGCAGTATGGAGGCAGTGGATGTCTTTTCCTTCTTTCTCGATCTCCTATGACCATTTTAGTAATATTGTTATAAGTAAAATTAGTTATTTATATGTTGATAATAGGTTTTATCGTCGGCATTACTTGAATTATTGTTATTCACACGTAAATAAATGTATATACTGGACGTTTGTTGTTTCAGTTTTTACTAAAAATTGTTAATTACCGTTCCTAACAACTGTATGTGATTGAAAAAGGTGCTTATTGAGCAATGTTTGTTGATAAACAAACAGAAAAAAAATTGGGTACTTGTACTTGTTGGCTTGTTTTCATACCGGCCACACTGGGTCCAACCCTTTAACTCGAGAACACCGACGTAATCGCCTTGAGTGGTGCAGACAACGGTCACTCTGGGATCAGAAATGGAACGGTATTGTCTTTAGTGACGAGTCTCGATTTTGTTTAGGCATGCACGATGGTCGTGCCAGGGTTAGAAGGCGACGTGGTGAAAGGAGAAATCCACAGTTTTTTGTTCAAAGTCATGTTCATCACACTGTTGGAGTTATGGTTTGGGGTGCTATAGCTTACGGTTCCAGGTCACCTTTAATCTTCATCAGAGGTAACATGAACGCGCAGCGTTATATTCACGAAGTTCTAGAACCCCATCTTTTACCCTATCTTGACACCCTGGGTGTTCGGATTTATATGTCACTTAGTATAGATAAATTTACTACACAGTGTTATCATGATATTTTCAAATATGTGTCATTCGTATGGTAAGAAACGGTATATATTTAAACTTCATTGACATTTTGACATATGTCGTTCAAAACGGCTGATGCGACCTACTTTGCAACTAGCAGAAGGCACAAGTAGTATGAGGATTGATTGCCTGATCGAAAAAAACCCTTGGCGGTGTTGCTGCTATATTTTATAAGTACCCAGACATTATCGCTGTTATTCCAGCGTATTTTTCAGCAAACGCGGAAAACATTAAAACATACACGTTCATTTAATTGATATTGATGCGTAAATTTTAAACGAGGACGTCGCTCGGTGCGTTCAGGTCCCGTCTGGGTCTGGTCGGTGATTAAAAGAAATTAATACATTAGCTTTTTTTAAGTATCCGCGAGTCATGCGAAAAAGCGACCCATTTTTCACCAAACGTAAGATGTAAATAAGTACGGACAGTATATCTTGCGTGTTCTTTGATGTTTCGGCGGATTCCTGCGCTTATGTATTGAATCAAAATTCCGAGGAACATGTGGCGGTTTTGCAGCTGTTTCGTGGATTACTTTGATCGCTTTATCGAAAGAATCGCACGAAAATAAGCGTGGATCGAATTAGATATTCAGAGAGATGCGTTCAAAATATAAAGATGACTGTCAAAGAATATGAGCCTTATTATGATGTAAAATTGCATTCGATTTCACCAGGGTTATCCCAAAAATATGATACGGTGGTTCTTTTTGTTTTTTATCGCCACTTGACCTTCATGACTCTTCCTGGATTTGCCCTTGGTAGTTAGAGAGTAAAAGCTTGAAAATTCCAACACATTTGACCTTTTTCATCTGAATATACAGTTGATAGTATCATAACTTTTTGTGCTGCCCTGTATACGACAAATGACCGAAAAATCTTATTTTCTCGTATACCCACAACAAAAAAGGTTGACTTGCTAGAAGTGTTTAAGGCTAATACTTTTCGAGATATTTCTTTTTAAAAGTTCCAGTGCATTATTTGCACCATGACGATAAAAGATCTTTATAACATGATACTCAAGTTGCTTTGGATAATATCTGAGTAGCAGTAGTTTTTATCAAAATTGAATAAACAATGCTGGGTGTTATATGTCACTCAGTATATTTTCATCTGATTATAGTCAGCCATTATGGAAAATCATCTTACCTATATCTTTTTGGTTTCAATTTTGATGCCAAAATAACTGCTATACATAACTGCTTTCAATCGACACCGTGCACAAAAAATCGCTTATACTAAGGTGTATCATTTGTGGATTGCATACGTATGCAATATTTAAGTGCCCTGACAAAAAGGAGGAAATCGAGATACAGCGCTAAGGCAGAAACGCGTTTCTGTGGTTACCGACCGGCTATTTTTCGATTAACCTAAGTGCGCTTATTAAATAGACAATTGCTAAGCGAGCATGATGGAGTATTTGAAGTGAAACGGTGAATTACCATCAAACCATCATACAGGGCGGTCTTTCGATTAAGCAAAGGAGGAATAATCAAAGAAGTTTGTTACTAGACATAACTTTACCTACCAGAGCAAGGTATACACTACTTTGAGTCTCACACTTCAGGCGGATAGAGGTGAATATCTCAATCTTCGCGTTCTGTCTCGTTGATCTGCGATAAAGATTGTTTCTGCCCAAGCAGTGTTGACTGATCCGCTGTGTTGCTTCAGCAGTATATTACTGCGAAGATTTTATTGAAGAAACAGCGAAATATGAAGACAATTACTTCTCTGTTCATAATTATACTTAATTGCAGTTTAAAGTGCACAAAAAGAACAAGAACGGAATACTTTTACTGGCCGTTAAATGTTAAGTCTGCAACCCAGTCAATGTGGTGATAAGTAAATACGAGTGAAGAAGAAGGGAATATAAAAATAGCAAACAAAATACATCATAACCTATTAGAAACAGATATCCTAAGCTTGAGGAAAAGTTAGTTTGTTGGAGATTCTGTTGAGTATCTCTGATATACATATTTTAAACGTTGTTTTCAATGGCCTGAAAAAACACCTACACAAACTAGAGCTGTGTGATCGAGACGTCAATTGCATATAATTTAGAAGAGCAGCTTTTAACAATTTATGTTACTTCCTTATTATTTTGAACTTCTTATGATGAATGAACTATTGCGATTGTTCTGGATACGGTGGCGTCCGTAATCTCCGTTTATCGCTTTATTTTTATTGCAGAGATAACAGTCATTACAATGCCATTGCTGCGTTTGCCACAGTATCGAAATATTTTCCTTCGTCCTTAGCATTCCGTACAGTGGCAATATTTTTTGTCAAATTGAGTTGAAGCTATTTGTATTCTGATGAGGTAGTTGCCAAGATGAACTCCCCTCCAAAAACGGATGGTATTCACAGTTACCAATGTTAGCAAGTGGATCTGTTACCACGTACGTAAACGTTATTTTGACTGACAGATGTCAAAAAGGTTGACGTTAACGTTTACGTATCCAGTGCTTGTGAAAACTCTCGTTTCCTGTAACGAAAAGATTAGGTGGAAGAATATTCTAGAAATGTTCCGCTACGAACAAGGCTGCGATGAAATATCGCCAATGTATAGGTAGCTAGGATCGCTGTCAAACTCCACGGGTGGTAAAACGGACAAGGCGGTGGCTATGTCGAATATTCGTGCACAGTTGAAGACGACGCTCATTGAAAACGTCGCTTCTCCGTACTGACAAGGACGCGTTACCGGCAGTACCCGGTATGTGTACCGCCCGTACGCAAACGGTAAGGCTACGACGATGTTTGTACTTTAAGTAGTCCTTTCAGGTTAGAGAACTACTGAGCTATCATCATCAATAGTACTCCAGACACCACGCATACGTAAGCTGTACCTTTGATTGCGTTTACACTTCCGAATCTTGACTCCAAGAGATAGGAGTATTTATTTTCCCTGGACTCTTTACTCCATCAAGATTCAATCCCTCTTTTGAAATAAGATATTTCGTACTACAAACTGGAACCTTCATGTCCAGTAACAAATGTTGTTATAGTTGCAAGGCTTCAAGACTACGTCCACATTCAATCTGACATCGACAAACTTTATGATTTAGAAGAAATGACCTGACACTTGATAAGTACTGCTTGCCAGCGAGACCGAAACGAACCTGGAGCAGCTACATTTCCGAGTTACTTCTCGTACCTGATCGTCAATGTGCGGCAGCCTAAATACGTCGTATCCCGAGCCACGTCCGTAGCATGATACTACTTGACGGGAGTCGCATTCGTACCGTGGCGTCTTGCTCTCGAATGCAAGTCAGCGACAGCGAGCGTCCACGGCGACGGTGGTAAGCATACGCAATGAGCTGCGGCGTTCGCCTCTTTCCCACGGTGACCGACTCCCGGCTTGCTGCCGCTGCCGCTGTTGCTGATGTCACAGCCGTGCCAGAGCGAGACAGACGACCGCAGTTATGTACAGGGTGAACGGGACGCCGCGCCGGTCGTACAGGTACTGCCTGACGGCGTTGCCAAGTCGGCGCGCGTCTCGCAACATCTGCTGAAAGTCCCGAGACGCTGCCGATCTCTACGGTAGCTTCCGCCCCCGAGCAGCGCTAACACGAGGAGAACCAGAAGGAATATGCTAAGAGTAATCTATGCCCAACAATATACGAGAAAATGAGTGCGTTTTTATGGTGAATATGGGATTGCTTTGTCAGTATGATAGCAGTTTTCAGTTGGCTATCAGATTTGTTGCCTAAATGTTCTGAACTATCAAAGCCATTCCATAGATACCGATTTTGTGCACAAAACTACCCAGTATTCATTTAGCTGACTTGAAAGTCACGTTTTTACAGAACAGATATAAAATATCGTAGAAAATACTATGGATATAATATATACTGCTAAGAACAGACCCGCCTAAAGGCACATAGATGTTTCATTTAGATGAATCCTGAACAAGTACATTTCTTTTGTCGACGCTAAATTATTTTATTTACTCCTTAACCCTAGATAGATCGCAGACAGGAATGTACGATGAGGTGTACTGTAAATTCGGCAACGCTGTGCTGGCGCGAGCTTTTGACTCCACAGGATCGCGCCTGGCGACTGCCGAGGTCGTCCGCAGATTCATTCACGATACGACTTGTATGGTTATTTATCAACCCCGAATAAAGAGTCTAGACCAGCATAGATAACATGTACGACGAGAGACCCATTGGTTTAAATCTAAATTGTGAAGTAGTACTACTAAATAGCTGTTTAGTTAGTGGATGATTTTATCTTTGGATCAATAACACAAAGATTTTGATTCTATATGTCGTACCACTACTCAAGCTGTGTGCAGGCAGTACTTTAGTGACCAAGAGCCTTTCTGTGGCGTGACGAGAATACGCACTAAATAGTCCATGGAAAGTTGGACCAACAAAGAGTCCCTAGATTGGTGGACCCGCCAATGAGGGTAAAGGCAGACAAAGGGGACATGCCGTTTAGATAAAAAAGGTGGGGTACTATCAAATAGTTATTTAGTTAGTGGATTAATTTATCTTTAGATCAATAACCCAAGGATTTTGATTTGAATATCGATCTATATATGTCGTTGTATGAGGTGGTACCACTACTTAAGCTTGTTTATGAGTATGCAAGCAGTACTTTAGTGACCAAGAGACATTCTGTGGCGTGACGAGAATACGCACTAAATAGTCCATGGAAAGTTGGACCAACAAAGAGTCCCTCGATTGGTGGACCAGCCAATGAGGGTAAAGGCAGACAAAAGGGACATGCCGTTTAGATAAAAAAGGTGGGGTACTACTAAATAGCTATTTAGTTACTTTGGATCAATAACCCAAGGATTTTGATTTGAATATCGATCTATGTCGTTGTATGAGATGATACCACTACTCAAGCTTGTTTATGAGTATGCAGGCAGTACTTCAGTGACCAAGAGCCTTTCTGTGGCGTGACGAGAATACGCACTAAATACTCCATGGAAAGTTGGACCAAGAAAGAGTCCCTAGATTGGTGGACCCGCCAATGAGGGTAAAGGCAGACAAAGGGGACATGCCGTTTAGATAAAAAAGTTGGGGTACTATTAACTAGTCATTTAGTTAGTGCATTAATTTATCTTTGGATCAATAACCCAAGGATTTTGATTTGAATATCGATCTATATGTCGTTGTATGAGGTGGTACCACTACTCAAGCTTGTTTATGAGTATGCAGGCAGTACTTCAGTGACCGAGAGCCTTTCTGTGGCGTGACGAGAATACGCACTAAATACTCCATGGAAAGTTGGACCAAGAAAGAGTCCCTAGATTGGTGGACCCGCCAATGAGGGTAAAGGCAGACAAAGGGGACATGCCGTTTAGATAAAAAAGGTGGGGTACTATTAAATAGTTATTTAGTTAGTGCATTAATTTATCTTTGGATCAATAACCCAAGGATTTTGATTTGAATATCGATCTATATGTCGTTGTATGAGGTGGTACCACTACTCAAGCTTGTTTATGAGTATGCAGGCAGTACTTTAGTAACCAAGAGCCTTTCTGTGGCGTGACGAGAATACGCACTAAATAGTCCATGGAAAGTTGGACCAACAAAGAGTCCGTAGATTGGTGGACCAGCGAAAGAGGGTAAAGGCAGACAAAGGGGACATGCCGTTTAGATAAAAAAGGTGGGGTACTACTAAATAGCTATTTAGTTAGTAGATGAATTTATCTTTGGATCAATAACCCAAGGATTTTGATTTGAACATCGATCTATATGTCGTTGTATGAGGTGGTACCACTACTCAAGCTTGTTTATGAGTATGCAGGCAGTACTTTAGTGACCAAGAGGCCTTCTGTGGCGTGACGAGAATACGCACTAAATAGTCCATGGAAAGTTGGACCAACAAAGAGTCCCTCGATTGGTGGACCAGCCAATGAGGGTAAAGGCAGACAAAGGGGACATGCCGTTTAGATAAAAAAGGTGGGGTACTATTAAATAGTTATTTAGTTAGTGGATTAATTTATCTTTGGATCAATAACCCAAGGATTTTGATTTGAATATCGATCTATATGGCGTTGTATGAGGTGGTACCACTACTCAAGCTTGTTTATGAGTATGCAGGCAGTACTTTAGTGACCAAGAAGCCTTCTGTGGCGTGACGAGAATACGCACTGAATAGTCCATGGAAAGTTGGACCAAGAAAGGGTCCCTAGATTGGTGGACCCGCCAATGAAGGTAAAGGCAGACAAAGGGGACATGCCGTTTAGATAAAAAAGGTGGGGTACTACTAAATAGCTGTTTAGTTAGTGGATGAATTTATCTTTGGATCAATAACCCAAGGATTTTGATTTGAATATCGATCTATATGTCGTTGTATGAGGTGGTACCACTACTCAAGCTTGTTTATGAGTATGCAGGCAGTACTTTGGTGACCAAGAAGCCTTCTGTGGCGTGACGAGAATACGCACTAAATAGTCCATGGAAAGTTGGACCAAGAAAGAGTCCCTAGATTGGTGGACCCGCCAATGAGGATAAAGGCAGACAAAGGGGACATGCCGTTTAGATAAAAAAGGTGGGGTACTACTAAATAGCTATTTATTTAGTGGATTAATTTATCTTTGGATCAATAACCCAAGGATTTTGATTTGAATATCGATCTATATGTCGTTGTATGAGGTGGTACCACTACTCAAGCTTGTTTATGAGTATGCAGGCAGTACTTTAGTGACCAAGAGCCTTTCTGTGGCGTGACGAGAATACGCACTAAATAGTCCATGGAAAGTTGGACCAAGAAAGAGTCCCTAGATTGGTGGGTAAAGGCAGACAAAAGAGGACATGCCGTTTAGCTAAAAAAAGGTGGGGTACTACTAAATAGCTATTTAGTTAATGGAGTACTAGTAAATGGAATGTTGGACCAAGAAAGAGTCCCTAGATTGGTGGACCAGACAATGAGGGTAAAGGCAGACAAAGGGGACATGCCGTTTAGATAAAAAAGGTGGGGTACTATTAAATAGTTATTTAGTTAGTGGATTAATTTATCTTTGGATCAATAACCCAAGGATTTTGATTTGAATATCGATCTATATGTCGTTGTATGAGGTGGTACCAGTACTCAAGCTTGTTTATTAGTATGCAGGCAGTACTTTAGTAACCAAGAGCCTTTCTGTGGCGTGATGAGAATACGCACTAAATAGTCCATGGAAAGTTGGACCAAGAAAGAGTCCCTAGATTGGTGGGTAAAGGCAGACAAAAGAGGACATGCCGTTTAGCTAAAAAAAGGTGGGGTACTACTAAATTGCTATTTAGTTAATGGAGTACTAGTTTATCTTTGGAACAACAATACAAGGATTTTGATATTTGAGTATCGATCAATGTCGTTGTGCGAGATGGTACCACTACTCAAGCTTGAGACGATATGGCCTTGAGAGGTACACGATGTGTCTTTTTTACGCCCAATACGTGGCTTTAATGTTGAACTGTTCAAAGAGGTAAGACCTGCTTATAAAGACCTCTTTGTAGTTTAACACAACCTTACAAGAGCACTAAACAACTTGAAAGGCTCCGCACACATTTTGTGGTACTAATTGCAACATGTGTATCCATTTCGATTATCTCCACATTAAAGATTAGCTACCAGGTTTAATGATTTTATAGCAAGTACTTAATGCAACAATAAAATTCGATTGATTGAACAAATCGTATGCTGTTTTATGGTTTTATAACCGAAAGGTTCGCCATTAAACCACGTTGTATCGTAAAATTTCGCCATGATGCGAACAGATAATTTACCAGTATATTGATTTGGGACGATTTGTTGGAGGTGTAGCTTCCGAAAGTTCAAGATTGAAGCTTTCTTTTTATCAAGAAGGTGCGTTAAAAATGAAATGATTTTAGTGAAGGCAGAGATTGAGATCTGATAAATAGCTTGATTCAAATATATTAAGTGGTTAACCTGCTCTTCAATTGTCAAACATCGTAATTGACAGGACGACAACGCGGCTATTCCCCAAGGTTCAGTTGTACCTCCAACTTACATACAGATTAGTGGCCTTCTTGATCACATGACAAATCGATGCCAAGAGATTTCAACAGATTGTGGGGTCTTTACACGAAAGTCAATAACCACGTTAATGATGGTATTGAATATTAATGAGGAGCTTGTTGTACCATGAAGCAAATGTATTATTAATATTTAAATGAATGTAGAAACTGCCATTGATGAAACTGACGTCTTCTTTTGTTAATCATTGTATAAGTCATTGTCATGGCTATTGAGCAATGGCAGGGGTATTTTATATTCAAAGGAAGTTTTGGATTTCGAATCTGATTTGTTGTATTTATCATCATCCTGATGTGGGAAGTTAAGAAAGTTACACAATCTCTACCAGATTTTTTTAAAACAATTACCTGAAGGATCTAATTTCTTATTCAATGTAAGCAGAATCTGCGGGACATACGAACTACTGATAAAGAAGAAAACGTTTTACTTCCAAAATTCGTTCAAGCATTTCCCAAAATACGTACAAACAACACTTCTGTCGCCGTTTTTAAATGAAATTTATAGTTGCCCAACGCATATAAAACATCTTTACGACCAAACTACGTATATACGCGTAATAAATAACCGTGTCTTATCCAACCAAAAGAGAAGAGACTCGAGTCCTTTCTTTTTTAATTAACACAAGGAAAAATATTAGATATGACAAGTTTTCTCGCTCTAGACTTACAACTGGAACTTGTCTAGTTTGAGGGTATTTATAAAATTGAGAACATCGGTTTACAGTTAGGTTGGATACAGCTGGTTAGGTGGTTTCAATTTTTTTGAATTGTATTAAATACGAAGTTCTGTTTAATGTCCATGTCTAGATAGATATCTGTTAACTGATCTATCTAGGAACCTTCTTGTCTACGGTTCTGCAGTTCAAAAATTTGATCATCAAGCTATATTTATCTTTTCCACAGTACCAAAATACTTTGTTTTGAACTGGTAACGTGCATACCCTCACGCAACCACTCACTTTTTCCTCTGATCCAATAAAAATGGCAAGTCCAACGCCAGCTTTTACAAGATCTAATCAGGCCTTTTTTTAAATCGAACAAGTGTATGTCTCTCACGAAATCATTATCCATATTTGGGTAACAGTTAGCCATTCTCTCTGTAATAT